CATCCTCCGCACCCGGCGCCAGGCGGGACGACGGGAGAAGCGCAAGGTCAGCGGACGATAAGCGCGTCGTCCTCGCGGCTCACTGGGCCCGCGATGTCGCCTGGTGCTCACCCTGGCCATGGGGATGATGATCAGCCGCTGCTGCACCCACGCGCGGCCCGGCAGAGGCAGAGTCACAGTGCGAGCCCATCGCCACCGGGCTGGGGTGAGTGGCGCGGGATGGGAAGAGGCTGAAAGAATGAACGGCGCTATGTAACCGCGCTTCATATTCCTTCATTCATATCTGGGTATGTCCGGAATCTCCGCCTTCATTTGGGCTTTTGGGCCCTGGAATCTCCTCCCTGTATCTATCTCCGAAATAACCCCAGCCTCCACGCTCGCCACGTCCCAGTCCCTTCTCGTCCTGCCCACGTTTTGCATCCGTATTCCTCTTGCTTGCTTGCACACAACTCTAACATTCTTGCCTCTTGCATACAAATCCTCCCCTCTCTTGCATACGGACCATCCCAACATCTTGCATCTCGCATCGCGCATCGCATCCCACACCCCAAACGCTTGCTAAATAACTTATTCTCCCACCCGCTCGCTCATATCCATCATATCCACATAACGCTAACTTATCTCCCTAGTATATAGTGTACGACCCGTAGTGTAGTGTCCTTGTTCATAGTGTACGTCCCGCTCTTATTTTGTGTCCATGTCAACATACACGAATTCGAAAGTGTATGTATGAGGATTGTTATCGGGATCGCTGCCATGTATCATGAGCTGGATGTGATGTGTCGACGGACCGAGTGATGAATGCATATGCCACAAAATGAATTATTTAACGAATGAGGGGAGTTCCAGAGTCTAAGACTGTATATACTAAGAATGTGCTGTATGTATGTATGAGTATCCGTTCGTTCCTCCTTCCCTGGCCACGACCACCCACGCGTTAGTGCAGGGCGAACGACTGGCCTTCCTCTCCTCTTTCTCCCTCCCATTCGTCCCCCGCTTTCCCCTTCCCTCCTTGCCTTAACCACCCCGCGCCAGTCCGCACACACGCCCCACCCCGCCCCCACACCTAACCTAATCCCACACCAACCTCCCCCCCTCATCCACACTCGCGCTCATCCCCCCGCTCACCTTCATGTTCTTGCCCGCGGCGGATTTTTGTTGTTCTGCGTAGCGTGTCAGCGTCGGGTATATGACATGATAGAGGGAGGAAGGAAAAGGAAGAGGAAAGGCGCGAGGGCGAGGAGGGGAGGGAAGCGAAGGGAGCGAAAGGGAGGGGAAGAACAACGTAGGATGCCAGCCAGCACGGGGTAGGGCGGAGGCGCAACATGTGAGTGGGGACGCGCGCAGATGGAAGGAGGTCGCTCGCAGGTGTAGGAAGAGATGGAGATGGTGGCACGAAACACGGAGAGGAGAAGGCGGAGGTGCGGCGTGCCAGTGGGGACGCGCGCAGATGGAACTAGGCTGCTCGCGGGTGTAGGAAGAGAAGGAGATGATGGTACGAAACGGAAACGTGGAGAGTGAGAAAAAGCCAGGGGGAAATGAAAGGACGAAACACGGAGGCGGAGGCGGAGGCGGAGGCGGAGGCGGAGGGTCGAGGGTCGACCTGGGTCGACACATCGAGATGTGTAACCGGCTCAGGCTCGGGCTCGATGCCGATGGGGGACGTCAGCATCCCGATTCCCCAAGGGACACGACGTCCATCAATCATCGTCGTCCTCGTCCCTCCCCCTCGGCTAAAAATCGCCCCCCACCCAAAAAAGGCAACTCAAACGCTCCGCCAAAAACGCTCCCCAGGCCTTCCAAAAAAAAAAAAAAAGCCAAAAAAAAACACCAAACACACTCACCCCCCATCCGAACCCCTTCCAACTCCCGTCGATGTTTCGCCAGCGCCGCCAGTCTCGCCTCCTCCGCTGCCGCCCGCGCGGCTTTTTCGGCCTCGCGCCGTTTGGCGTTTTTCTTTGCTTGGGCGCCTGCTGCTGCTGATGCCGAGTTTGAGGAAGAGGTATTCTGAGAGGGTTTAGTGCCGGTGGTGGTGGTAGTGGTGGCTGTGGGGAGGAAGAAGGGGTTAGTTAGCGGTGTAGGTGGTAGGTGGAGAGAAGAGCGGAGAGAGGGGAGGAGACGCTGAGAGTAGACGAAACTAGACTAGAATGCGGGGGCGAAAGCGCCCAGCCGCAGTAGCACACTCCAACTAGCACTAGCGTCCGCAGTCTCTCCCTCCTCCCCCAAAAAGCGAATCCAAACAAAAACACGACTCACCACCCCTCCTCTTCACAGGAACGACCCCCCACCCACCCTCGTCGTCGTCCTCCCCGTCTTCTCCTCCCCCTCCGCCGGATGCGCCTCCCCACGCCTCAGCCATCTCCGCAGCGTCCGCCGCGTCAGCTGCCGCGAGGGCGGCGAGCATTTCTTGTTCTTCGGTCTCCGCTTCCGTCTCGGTGTTGGTGGGGACGGGGGTGCGCTCGCCCGCGCCCGTGGAGCCGGGGACGACGCGCATGACGCGCGCGAGGGCGGGGTAGTCCGGGGAGGAGGCGGGGAGCATGCTGGAAGGGGGAAAGAAAGAAGTCAGCGCGAGGAAAGAAAGAGGAGGGAAGCGGGAGCGCAGAGGGTGGGCGGCAGTAGTGCAGTACGTGCAGCGCGAAGGGGAAAGGAAGAAGTAGGCACGTATGTATGCGCCACGCCCAATGTATGGTATGCGCGGAAACACGAATGAGCGGGCGAGCGACAGGTGCAGAACCACGAAGAAAAAGAGAGAGAGAACGCGACACTCACTCATCCACCCCCGTCTTCCTCGGCTTGGGCAACAGCCTCTCCGCCAACGGGCGCTTCGCCGCCTTCATCCCGTGCTCCCTCCCGCTTTGGTTTTGGTTTGGCTTGACGCGCATCCCGGGCAGCGGGATCTCCTCCGCCTCTTCCTCGTCCTCCTCTTCCTCTTCCTGCTCCGGGAGGCTGTCCTCGGTGAGAGACGCGGTGGCGGAGGCGCTGGTCGAGTCGCCGACGCGCGTCCAGCCGTCGTCTGTGCTCTCCCCTCCTTGCGCTTGGGACTGGGATTGGGCGGAGGCGGAGGTAGAAGGCTTTTTCTTGCCCTTTGCTTTCTTGCCTTTCGCTGGTGCTGGTGCGGCCGCGGCGGGGGCGGCGGCAGGTGGTGCGACTGCCGCCGGTGCCGGTGCAGCAGGCGGCGTCGGTGTGGAAACAGCAGGCGCGGACGCCGATAGGGGTTTTGGCGCAGCAGCAGCACTCTTCTTCTTCCCCTTCTTCGAGTGCGCCTTCACCGGTACCCTCGCCTCCGCCTCCTCCTCTGCGTCGGCGTCGCCAAATGCACCCGGGAGCGAGCCAGCCCCGGGTGTGCTGAGGACAGCGGATGTAGCGGGAGTGGCAGAAGCGCTAGTGGGATCGGCCTTGGCTTTGGATTTCGATTTCGACTTTTTCTTGGTCGATGCTGCGCTGAGGGCGGGTTCCGGGGAGTCTGTTTCGGTGTCCACTGCCGCTGCCGGTGTCGGTGTGGGCGCAGAAGCCGCTGCGCCAACAGTCGATTTGCGCTTGCTCTTTTTCGGTTTCTCCTGCCCAGAAGACGAAGGGGTCGACCCAGAAGACGAGCCAGGACCGAACGCGGTATATCCAACAGCGACTGCACCACCGATGGCGACGGCGGCGACGGCGAGGGTGATTTCGGGGGTGAAGGTGCTTTGCGCGGAGCCCATTTTTTGCTTAGTTTAGTTTATATAAACTTGAGGAAGATAAGACGCGGGAAGCGGAAGGAAGAGTGAGTGGGAATGCGAGAGATTAAGGCACTGGATAAATTCGCAGTGGGAATGCGAGGACGAATGAGGAGAGTGACTGAGGAGACGGACACGTGGCAGTAGGCGCGTACACATGCACAAATAACGCGTACTGCTCGAGGTTGGGGCCTCGATTATTTTTAGAGGGAGAATAGTGTTAAATATCTCGTTGGAGTGCCAGCGGTTTAAACAAAAAGAAAGAGAAAAAAAGCAATAGCAGCTTATCAGCATGGCCATGACTTGGGCCGGAGTCGAACCGGCATCGTCTGAAGCTTGTCGACTATAGGTGTATGAAAAGCAGATGCGGACCACCCGCTACCAAGCCTTATTCTTTTCTTTCACAAACCCGGTTTCGTGCCAGAGCTTTTTCAACTGGAACCAAACACTTATTGTAAAATGTAACTCCAGAGTCACGTAGCGTCCCATTCACTCCTGGAGCCTTCTTTCGAGTCGCCGGTATGAGCCAGCCATGCCTTGTTAGGGTCTGGAGATTATGACTCGAGAGTGGAGAGAATAATAAAAAATACAGCTTCCGATTCATCAGCACACGACTTGACCGGAATCGAACCGGCATCCTCTGCAAGAACTCAGGAATCGTCGCCAACTGCAAGTAGACGCGGATCATCCGCCACCAAGTCGTATCTGCATCCCACTGAGCGGTGTCCTTCCGCCTACAGTTTTTTTTTTCAACAAAAGGGGGACTGTACTGGATATCTGAAGCCGAGCTCAAATTCAGAGTATGAACCTCTATCTCCATTGGAGGAGCTAAGCTTATCCTATTGACACTGTGTTCAATCCCACTTGATTCAAATAGAGTACGAATGTAATACTTTCACTGGTCCAGGCACATAAAAAGACCAGGTAAAAATGGCTTTTTGGACTACGCGATGGCCTGGACCCGAATCGAACGAGCGTTGTCTGCAGAATCATGGATGACAGTCACCAGGAACGGATTGCAGCTGTGGACCTCCCGCTACCAAGCCTTATTTATGCCTTCATAGACCTGGGTTTGTGCGAGATCTTTCAAATTGCTGCAGACCAATCACAACTCTGGCATCTGGAAGTCAAGCCTATTCACAGAATATGGGATTCTCCCGGTCCTGGGGTTCGGAATCGATTCCTGTGCGCCGTATACACCGCTTACCCCTTGACTTTTGGTCCAAGCGAGTTGAGAAACTGGTCCAGCTAGCAAATAAAATACAAAAATTCAGCGGCTCACTGTTATGGCTAGGGCCCGAATCGAACAGGCGTTGTCTGCAGGATGGTGTTGGTTCTAATAATAGAGTGCAGATGCGGACCTTCCGCTACCAAGCCGTATCAATCTCCATTGACGCCCAATATCGAGCCAGCGAATATGAATATTTGTGGCGTAAATTTGGATGTCCGAGAGGCCCGATATTCAATGTTCATGAAAGCCAATGACGAATTCTGGTTCTGTAGATTATCCGTTACCCGCCATTCTTCTTATATTAGAATAAAGAAAAAAAGAAAAATTGATCGACGCACATGGCTGGGCCGGAATCGAACCAGCATTGTCTGCAGGATTCTTTTGAATACAATGCTCACATGAATCGCAAATGCGGACCTCCCGCTACCAAGCCTTATTTATGCCTCCACAAACCTGATTTTATGTGAGATTTTGCAATTGCTGCAGATCAATAACCACACGGCTGAAGGTGAAAATATGCAGGGTTTCACCCCTTGTACCAGTGAGTGCTGGTTTAAGCGAGTTGAAGATACTGGCCCAGCTAGCAAATAAAAAGGCAAAGTTCCAGTGCTTGACCAGGCATGCACTGCATTCAGACCCCCCCGTAGGCACAGGTGTGCCCACCTTCGACGATCTCCGCCTATGGGTTGCCCACGTAAGCCGACGTTGGTCTATGCTAATAGGCATTGGCCGACGTTGGTCTAGTATCCCTACCAAGGCCAAGTCTGCCCACCTTCGTCGATCTTCGCCGACGATGGTGTGCCTATCTTGGCCGACCTTGGCCGACCTGGGTCTAGGTTGGTGTCGGTTGAACTGGCTGGATGGGTACAAACCATGTCGGATTTTGAATTTGGCCAACTAGGCTTAGATAGGCTCATCGGCCTATCTCAGTCTATGTGTGCCTATTCTGCTCGGAATGCCTAGACCAACCACGGCAGGGATGGGCAGATGGATCGGCAGGGGTCGGCAAACTGGTCTGCCTACCCATCTGCCTATCGGGATCCGGCAGACCTGTGCCTACAGGGGGGTCTGAACGCAGTGATGGCTTGGCCCCGAATTGAACGGGCGTTTTCTGCAAGAATCACGGATAACTTTCTCAATAACACATTGCAGCTGCGGACCTCCCGCTACCAAGCCTTATACATATATATATATGCCTCCACAAACCTGATTTTAATTATGCGAGGTCTTTCAATTGCTACAGATCAATAATCACACGCCTAGAGGAGGAAATATTCCCCCAGAATCGATTCCTGTCTGCAGCATGCAGCGTTTTACCCCTCGAAGCTTGAAGCGGTCGTGATTACCATGGCCTTATAGGTTCTCAAACTTTGCATCGACATATCAATCGAATCGACAAGCGAGAGCAGCAACGGCCGAATGCGAGTGATGAACGTTGAACGTGGGGGTCAAGTGGGGGTAGTCTGTGATGCGGAACAAATACCTTTGTAACAACCGTCTTACTGACTGTCTATGGATGTCCTTTTTTTGCAAATCTCCTCTATGATTTGGTTCTGGCCACAATCTTCACTTTGAATGGGATTGCCGATTGCCGCTTGCCCGTACCAAGCTGTCTCACTTCAATATCAATCACCTTACAGCAGTAGTATATTGAAAAGGATAGACAGGATTTTTTTTTTGGACAATACAATTTGGAGCTCAGTTCCTGCGAGCTAAACTTTACTCTATCGTTCTGTAAATTGTAAGATCCACCTCGGTTCATGGGGAGAAATCAGTATGACCGGGGATCTTTGCGCGCTAAGATACCGGTCAGTTATTAGTCCACTGAGGGCGGTAATTGACGGGCGCCTCCAAAGTTGGGGGCCTGCACATCGTTTATTTCATAAAAATCAAGACAGAAGAGGCTCCAAAGGATTCACTACACAGCTTCGCCATCGTTTATTTACAGCTTCGAATCTGTTGCCAGGCGGTTGTCGCCATCGAAGATGTTATCGGTAAGTACCAGCTTGGCGTCTCTTGCCGTACCGCTCCTATACAAAAGAACTCAAGCCATTTCAAGTTGCACTCAAACATCATGAAGATCCCCCTCATGTCATTACTGTCGGCCACGGCGTTCACGCTGTCGCGTCTGATGTCGCAACTCAACCTGAACCCTGCGCTGTCCGTGCTTGGGTCCGCGCAGAGGACCTCTCGCCAGACCACGTCTCCCGCGGTGCGTGCATATCTGCCTCGAGAATGATTCAATACTAATATTGTGCAGGCGAACTCCGCATCAAGGTTCCGCGTGCTGAGTGCGCGAACCAAGTTGCTTCCGTAGCGCTTCGCCTGCAGCTCGACGAGTTCGGGGAGCTGAAATTCCTGAAAAAGGGTGCCGTTCTCCCCGAGGTGCAGCCCACAAACCAGAGCGCGCCGGCTGGATATGAGACCTGGATGGGGAGCGACGTCGTGTATGACTATCAGGCGCACGACGATGGCCTGAGCGACCCCGAATTGTGGACAGTCAAGGCGGAGGAGAGACGCGCGTGGTCGACCGAGGCGACTCTTATTGAAAATAATCCCAGTTCGTTGACTTTCGCACTGATGTATTGCCGCTCATGTATCGCAGACCTTTCCCAGGCCATCGTTATGGCCTTCACGGTCGCGGTTCCCCCTGTGAATTATCCACCCGTCCTTAACCAGCACCGTCAACTGCACGGCCCAGTTTCGCGACACTCCTACGCGGATCTCGGTTATCGGTACATCGCAGTAGGAATATTTACTTGCATTTGAAGAGACTTACTAAGGCTCCAACCGTTTAGTTTTCGTTTACGGATTTTGGTAAACTAAACGGAAACGGTTGGTGAAAGTATGGGTTATGGGATTACCGGGGAATGGACCGGGATCAAAACCGGCGGCAGCATCGGCATTAGGCGAATTTTGATGATATACACATTTAGATATCATACGCTCGCTCTCCCTCTACCTCCGCCCACACGCCATGCGGCCGCAAGATTGCACAAGTTGGCTCGCGAACAGGCATTGAGACTGGGCAAAACGCCCGGTGGAGTTTTGGGCGGCATGGACAAGGGGCTTTCCCTTGCGAAGATAAAGTGAGTAGTCCTATTTTATTGGACTAGTACTTCAACCTCTAGATTTATTACTACCTGTATTCGTATCCTTGGAATGAAGCACCTTGTTTGCTCTTTTGGTCTTTGTTCCAGTCCCGTCGACGCGTCCAGTCACGTCACATCAGGAGCTCGATGCGACATGTCACAGATTCTTCCACACCCTACAACGCGTGCAAGACCAAATGCAACCAAGACTATGTAACACTTTAATCTTCTGCAGATGTGCTGATTTATTAGCTAAAGTACGGTCAGCGGCGCCATGAGAGTAGAAAGTAAGGAGCATGTTGCCGTGATTGCCGATCAAATCAATCTGATCCCGGTGCTGATCCCGGTATTGATCCCGGTTTTATTCCCCGGTAATCCCATTTCCCATATGTTCTCAACGGTTGGTAAACAGTTTACAAACGTTTATAAACGTTTATAAACGGTTATTTTCCCTCGATTTTCTTCAGTTAAATATAGCATTGAATTGACTACAGAACTAGAACTTCAATTTATCCACATCTTCGTGAGCATCGCTATCATAATGGTGTCAGCATGCATAGACGACCGGGTATCACGACACAAGTGTCTCGCCTTCGAGAACAGCCGCTCCACGGACACACTTGTCCTCGGGATGGCCAGGAGTCTCGCGCCATGGCAGCGATAATCGGGAAATCGTGTTCATTCTTCTGTAAGGGGATGACAAATTATTGGTTGAATGATGTACGGAATAATACGGAAAATATAGTACCTTCCACCAAGCTAACGGATCATTTGCCTCGCCGCGCCCAACAAAATGTGACAAATTTATAGAGTGGAGGTGCCAAGCATGATGTCGGTAAAATTGGGGTCGTTGTGGATGAGCGAGGAGGCGAGCAAGCAGCAGGAGGCGGCGTAGGGAGCGTATAGGGGGTGTATGACGGAAGAGGTAACACTTGTCCGAAAATAACCGTTTAAACCGTTTGTTTACCGTTTGTTTACCGTTTACAGAGGTTGGTAAACTAAACGGTTAATATAAACGGTTAAACAGTTTATAAACGGTTGTAAACGGAAACGGTTGGAGCCTTAAGACTTACCTGACACTAAACTTCAGGTTGTGACGTTCACCGACGGCCGCATCGAGAATGTGTTAGCTGGTCACACAGCCTTCGTCCCCTTGTTGCAGGCCAGCTCGCAACAGGCACCCTTCACATGGAACACGACATTCGGGGACTTCGGTTGTGAGAGTGACCCCGTACGCTTGAAAAAGCGCGCCGATGACCTGGAGAGATGCTTACCTGAGCTCCACGTTCGTTGCAGAGGTAACACTCGAGGAAGGGAGTGTTGCATCAAAAGGTAAGCATTTTTGCGCGTCGCACTTACTGGACTGACCGTGTTCTTCAGGCCGGCCGCTGAAGGGGCGGGTGACTATACGCAGCCTCACTAGTGTTGTTCCGGCTTTGGCCCGGCCTGAAAGCCGGGGCTTTGGCCCGCATTTGGCGGCTTTGGCTTGGAAAAATCCCAGGCCAGGCCGCCCCCCCTGGCCCGGCTCGGCTTTGGCTCGGCTTCGGCCTAAGCCGGGGCTTTAGGCGAAATTTTCGGAACACTGTTAAAGAGGTGTCAGTGACGGAAAAAGAGGCGGGATAGACCCGTGGGTGATCCGTGAAGCACTACTTGTCAACTTGAGTCCCAATCCTCAGTCAGTGTATATTTTGGGCAGTTGCACGTCGATGTGGGACCGTGGGAACACTCGGCTTAAATTTGCGGAATGTTCAAAATAATGGTAAGAAATGAGAATTTTTGTTTGGGAACAAAGCTGTGGATCAAAGCATCCTTTACTGGCGGAAAAGCAATCGGGGATTGCTCAAACTTTCTGTCACTGCGGGTGTCTGCAAAGCCGGGGCTTTCAGGCTCGGCTTTGGCTTTACTGGACGACAGGCCGAGCCAAAAGCCGTCCCAGGCCGACATTTTGGCTCGGCTTTGGCCCGGTACCAAAGCCGAAAAGCCGGGGCTTTACGGCCTGAGGCCGAAGCCGGCACATCACTAAGCCTCACGGACGGTCCGACTATCATGTCGGA